GAGGAGGAGGAGGAGGAGGAGGAGGAGGAGGAAGGGGTGCGAGGCCTCCGCGCCTCCTCGAGCTTTTATGTTGCTCCCATCGTGCCTTTAGGTCTGGCATGTCCCCCGTACGGGCGGATTCCGGACGAAAGATACAACATGGTCAACAAGTGTATTCCCAACATGCTCCAACATGCACCAAATAATAATCCCGAGACTATTTCTCCGATGCCTGAGAATTGCCCCTGTAGAGGGACATGCCCGACTGAAACTCAAGGGCCAGATCCCAGAAATGATCCCGAGCACCCAGAAACGCATCGAAACGGTGTCGAGCAGGTGTTGCCTCCCAGGGCCCGACACGTGACAACCCTCAAGCTTCGGCCTTCCCTTGGTGCTCGAAGTTCTTTCTGGTGGTCAAGTCGGGGATGGACAGACCCCCCTTTAGTAGAACGTGGTTTAGTGACAACGACCTGAGGCCCAAACCTGGCGGGCGCAAGCCCGGAAACTGACGGCCACGGCGCCCTCTCGAGAACCGAAAACGGACAATTCACGAATCGACGTGTCACTGCTGGGGGCTCTGTCCACCCCCCGATGTCGAGGCCAAAAAGTCGGCTGGACCATCACAGATCGAGCTGGCATCGGCGACGCGTCGCCGAGAGATCGGCGGTGGGCCCCCCCTCGGGGGTGACCCCGCACGTTCCCTGGGAGGGGTGGGCCCGTGGGGGTCGACGCGTCCCCCCATGGAGCCTCCGACCCCCCAACAAAGAGGGAAGAGAACTACGCACAGACACCGATTCTGGCCAGGCTCACCCTGAGCCCAGGATCGGTGCACACGCCCCTCCCTGCCGTGGCCAGGACAGCAGATGCACCGACCCTGGGTCAAGGATGGGCCTTGCCAGGATCGGTGCACGTGCATAACTCTCTTCGCCCGACTCACGTTGCCCCGGACCACCGCGGTGCCCGCGGGCAGCTCCTGCCGAAGGCTCGCAACAAAAAGGGCTCGCGGGGCAAGCGCCGAGTGCTGCCCGCGACACAGGACGGCCAATGACCCAGAGATCCAGGCGCCACAATTGTTCCACACTGGGCGTTTTGCCCCATTTCGGACCTGGGGACCCTTACAGCTCGATCCGGCTCAAGAACTGGCGCAGACAAATCTAATGCTCTAAGGCTCCGGATGTTGTTCTTCACGATGTTGCATGTGTTAACTTGGGATATCAGGAGGAAGGTTCCTCAGGTGTTTTTCGACAGCTCCGTGGCTGGTGATAAGCGTTTTGCTGGCTCCTTGTTGGGCTCCTGGGCCCCCTCAAGGCCTCCGACGACATCTGGGGCTTAGGGCCCAGGCTGGCAGTCAAACTCACCAGGGACGCTGCCTTTGGGCGGTCCTCTTGACTTCTCAGGGCGCCTTCTTTGGGTGGTTCGCAGATGGGGGGGATCGGGTCCTGAGGATAGGAAGGGCTGTATTGGTGGACTTACAATGTTTGAGACACCTCGTCCTTAGGACCCCTTCCCTGAGGACCCCACCCTGCAGAAAGACACGCCGGACTTAGCCCTATCCCCACTGGCGTGGCCTGGGCCCCGCTGGCCGGTTTTTCTCCTCCCGGAAAGGGGCACGCCGGCGGTTCCGCTCGGTCTTTTCAAGGGGCCTCACCCCCTGCCCCTGGGGGTGGTGGGACGGCGGGGTCGGGGTGGGGATGGGGCCAGGGATCGGTTCAACGAGACTTCGAATAGGGTTATGTTGCCCCATCGTATTTGAGGACCACGTCCCAGAAAGAATTTCGAGCACCCGGAAAAGTGTCGAAAGAGTGTCGAAGGAGTGTCGAAACAGTGTCGGACGAGTGTCTCCCAGGGCCCGACAGGTGAAAACCCTCGAGTTTCGGTACTTGTTTTTGGTGTTGCTCGAAATTCTTTCTGGTGGTCAAGGCTAAAGTAGGTTAGAACATCATGAGGCCAGGGATCAATTCAAAGATATTTCGAGTAAGGGATCGACTACAGACTTGACTCACCCCGAACTGCTTTTCTCGTCGAAGCCAGGAAAAGGTGCAGCACTGTCCGTAGATCTGCGGGGCCTCGCAGCTATGTGTCGTAGACTCGACGGGGCATCTATTTTTTGGGCAATCGATTCTGCAGTCGATCCCCTACTCAACTACTGAGCACAGCGCCTTCGGACCAAAAACTAGGGACACCGAGAAATGGCATAAACAGAAAAACAAAAACTCGGAGGTCCGCGCGGATTTCTTGGATCCGCGCTGGACCCCCCTCCCTGGCGCGCGGAGCGCGCCAGGGGCGGCGCTGGAGGCGCCGCCAGGGGGGCCCAGCGCCGATCCGAGAATCCGCGCGGACCTCCGAGTTCATATGTTTATAAACATAAAAACTCGGAGGTCCGCGTGGATTTGTTTTTCTAATTTTGGAATACAGAAAAACGAAGCAGAACATGTATGCCATGTTTCGTGTTCCTATTAACCTCCCTCTCCTTCCCGACGCTCTGCTCGGGGGGAATGGAAGGGTGGGAAAGCAAAGGGTAGGGCAGAGAATCAGCTCACGTAGCTGATTTTCCCAGCGCCTCCCGACACCAGGAGGCGCCCATGTATCGGGGAATGGGCCCGGCGGCGGGACCGAAACCAGCTGCACGCAGCAGATTACGTACCCCCCCCTGCATGGGCATGCGCTGGTTTCGCCGGCGATGGTTTCGCCGCCGCTGCTTTCGCCCCGCTGGTTTCGCCGACGGCTGGTTTCGCCGGCGCTGGTTTCGCCGGCGCTGGTTTCGCCTCGCTGGTTTCGCCGACGGCTGGTGTCGCCGGCGCTGGTTTCGCGGGCGGCTGGTTTCGCCGGCGCTGGTTTCGCCGGCGCTGGTTTCGCCTCGCTGGTTTCGCCGACGGCTGGTTTCGCCGGCTGGTTTCGCAGACGGCAGCTGGTTTCGCCGACGGCCGCTGGTTTCGCCGACGGCCGCTGGTTTCGCCGACAGCAGCTGGTTTCGCCGACGGAGCTGGTTTCGCCGGGCGGCGAAACCAGCCGGGCGAAACCAGCCGTCGGCGAAACCAGCGGTCGCCTTCCCTGTCCCCCCCCTTTCGTTCGGCCCGATCTGCGCAGCTCCTCCTTCTCCAGGCGCCGCACCAGGGCCACTGTGCGCGCCACCACCGACAGGGCGCTCTCCGCCCGCCGCGGCCGGGAGGACGGGTCCTCTCTCGCTCACGGGCGGCGGGCGTGCGGTGTGGGCATTGGACAAGGAACCCTCAGGCAAGGAATCCAGACTCTGGAAGCCAGTGGAACTCCAGTCGTGGATCGGCCACAGATTCATGTTGCCCCCCATCGCACTGGGGGGCCACAACCCAGAAATAATTTCGAGCACCCAGAACAGTATCGACACAGTGTCGAACGAGTATCGCCTCCCATGGTCCGACACGCGAAAACCATCAAATTTCTGTATGTTCTCGGTGCTCGAAAATTGTGCAGGTGGTTCAGCCTAAAGTCAGTTGGAATATCATAACCTCAGATAAGGAATCCAGACTCTGGAAGCCAGTGGAACTCCAATCGTGAATCGGCCATGCATATCACCGCCGCCCTCATTGGATAAGGACTCCTCCAAGGTCTGGCGCTTCCTGGGGTTATTCCTTAACGAACGCCTCCACTATATCCGTACCCTTGAGCAAGGACCGGCCGTCCCGGTATTTCTATAGGCCTACCACGCAATATCCTTAGAACCCACAAGCGTTCTAAGAACAGATTCCGTGCTCTTAGAACATGAACTCGATGTGTTCAAACAGGACAATCCCAGCCAGAACTGTTCGAATCACACCCCGTGCCAACCACAAGAGGTTCTCAGACCAGTCTTTTGTGGGCCTAGATTAACGGGCGAAAAACGGTATACAATCAACTTTTTCGCTGTCGGGGGTGCCTGTCCCTGGGCGGCGAAAAAAAGTTAGGTTATACCGTTCTTCGCCCGTTAACTAGAGGCAAGCCAGGACGCTTCGCCACTGCTTGATACCCACGCCCTCGCGGTCTGGGTTTCGAGGGCGCGATCCCGGGGACACGCGGTCGCGAGGACGCGCTCCGCGCGGGGCATCTGCGGAAAGCTTCCCCGCATCCAAGGTGGGCGCGGCGCGGGGGCCCGGCCCGCGAGGCTGCGAGTGCGGATACGTTTCCCTCCCGCGAGTCCTCTCGGTCGTGCGACCAGACCTCCTCTGGGAGACCTCCCAAATTGGGTCCAAGTTGGCACTCAGATCTCCAACGGTATGATTTTATCACTCTCAGCGTTTTCTCTTGATGTCGGCTTCCGTGGCCCGTCAGCGGGCAACGGGACCATCAAAAAACGGATCTGGGGCAAAAAAACATCGCCAGGGATGGGGTCGAGACCTCTGGCGCCGCGCATTGAAGAAATCAGATCGTCGGATGTATGGGCAGATGGGGTCGGAAGATCGCGCCGCATCGCCAGTGCGTTGCCGATGCATCGGCGATGCATCGGCGCCGTCGGCGTGGAGGAAATCGGGCTCCGTATCGAGCCGCATCCTCGAGTGCATCGGCGGAGCGGCGCGACACTCCGACCCCCATCTGCCCAGACACCCGACGGTACGATCTGCTTCAATTCGCGACCCCAAGAGGTCCAGACGCCACCCCTGGTGGTGCTTTTTTTCGCACCCACCTGTTGTGGGCAGCCCCGCGGCCCGCCGCAGGGGCCGTGGGCGCCGCCATCGAGGAGAGAACGCCCGGACTGTGGACCAACCAGAACGTCGGGGCGGAGATCTGGGCCCTTGGGCTCGGTTGGGGAGGCCCGGGTCCTCGTAGGCCGTGTTGGGCCCCCCCTCCAGCTCCCCGAACCACCTCTCGCGCAGCCCCTCCGCCCTCCGCATCTCGACGGAGCCACCGGCCTGGCTCAGGCGAGGCCGGAGCGCCTCGCGGCGACACGTGCGCGGGGGGGGCTGGGGGCGAGGGGGGCGGCGTGGCGTTCCGAGTTCGCGGAGACGCCGTGCTCGAGTTCGAGGGGCCCTGGAGCTGGAAGCAGCGGCACGGTCACAAGCTTTCGGAGCCCCGCGGGGGTTCCTCGGATCGGCGCCTGGGCCTCCGCCCTCGCGCGCGGGGCGCGGCAGGGGCGGCGCCGTGAGCGCCGCAAGGGGGGCCCAGCGCCGACCCCAGACATCCGAGCGGAGCTACGATTTGACTCTCGCTGCCCACACCTCACGAAAACTGGATCGCCCGAACCCACGCTGGGGCCGCCAAGAGGCGGCGGCAAACCGGAGTTATGGCAAACTCGAGCCTCGCCCTCGCATTCGACAGTGTGACTTTGTCCAAACGCGGCCCTGGGTCCCGACCCCTTTTCTCAGGGCCAGCTTGGCGTCCTGGGTCCGATTATATTTCCCTGGGGCCCGACAACGGGCCTTGGAGGCCGAAGTCGAAGAAAAACCGCCCAGATCAACCAACAAGAACAGATCCTCGGAGATATTGGCACGCTTCCCCGATACGAGCGCAGGCTTCCCCGATGAGGGCGCAGGGGCTCGTAGAAGACCTCCCGACTGCGCCCTCAGAGGCCCCAACGGCCCCCGCCGAGGGGCACCCTCATCACAGGGCCGCCGCCCCCGCCAGAGACCCCCCCCTGTGCGCACAGCCGAGAAATGGGAGAGGCGATCGTAGTGCTAGGTCGGGCGTGTCCCCCTAGAGGCGGATTTGAAGTGAAAAATTTTAACACACACGCACACACAACAAAAAACGATAAAATCGTCCCCATATTGCTTTTGTGTGACTAAGTTTGAAAATTCCCCCTGCAGAGCGGCAGGCCCGACTTCATTACTCGTAGTGGGACGGGGCCCTGCACCGCGGGACCCCGACCACGCACGTTCTGCTGGGGGCGCCCCCCGGGGGCGTCGGAGCGGGGCGTCCGCAGGTCATGGCCCGAGGCTGTGAGCGGACGAGCGGGCGCCAGGGATGTGCGGAACAAGCAGGGGCAATGGAATCTGGGCAGACCTCGGTGCCCTGGCCACGATATGCACCACTGCCCTGGGTGCGAGGCGGGGATCTATCTATGTCCACCGCCCGGGAACCGGCGTCCTGGTGCCCCAGCGGGCGGTGGATATGGATACATTTCGGCCCCCAGGGGCACGACCATGTCCATATCCACCGCCTGCCGAGGCTTCGAAACCTGACCTTCCAGGCGGTGGTCATGTATAAATTCCCGCCTCGGACTGGGCACCACCACCGGCTTGGACGCCCCCGATGTCGCTCCCAAAGCCCTTGCCGGGCCCCGGGGCCGTCACCAAAAGGACCCAGGATGAAACACCGATCCCCAGGAAGGGATACAGTCAACCTGTATCATAAGGATGCTCGATGAGGATGCAAGGGCCTTGGACGCCCACGTCGAGGATTCTCGAGCGGGGCGCGGCCAACGAAAGAAGCCAATGATGGGCCGAGAATGAAAAAGAAAAAACGCCGTAATACCCAAACTTCTGACGCTCCGCGCGGATTTCTTGGATCCGCGCTGGACCCCCTGCCTGGCGCGCGGAGCGCGCCAGGGGCGGCGGCGGAGGCTCCGCCGTGGGGGGGTGGGGGCAGCGCGGATACAAGAAATCCGTGCGGAGCGCCACAGGGTCACGTTCATGGCGCTCTTTCTTCTTCGAGGGGAAGTGCGGATACAAGGCTACCCTTGGGAAGGCTGCCCATCCTTACCATGCGGGTCGACTGTACCTGGGGAGCCACGTCGCGAAGAGAGTCACGGCTTGAGCAGGAGCCGACCGTCCCGACATGCTCTTAGAACTCACAAATGCTCTATAAGCACAGAAAGAAGGTTCTGAGCACATACAGCCCGATGTGCCAAAACAAGACAGTCCCCGCCGGAACTGTTCTAAGAGCATCTCGTGCATATGAAGGGGCCCTGGGACACACAAATAAATACACACAAATCAAAAGATGCCCCATATTTTCCCATATTTTCTGGGTTTTTGTCTTCACCCCACTTCCCATATTTTCGCATATTTTCTGGGGAATCGACGATTAATTGTGTCTGTGTGTTTTTCCCCCTCCTGGTGGGCCTATAGCTAGGCAAGCCGGGACGCTTCGCCACGCCTCGACCGAGGCTCTCAGGGAGCCACTTCGCCCCACGGTGGGCCTCGATGAACACCTCCGCGGTCTCGCACGTCCGCCGGAAGTCGCTGGCCTGGAGGGATGAGGCCGAGAGGGAGGGGCCTGGCTCGTGGGGAGCAGAGGCCTGGAATCGACGGTGCGTCGCCGATGGGTCGGCGATGGCTCCCGCGACTGCGGAATCGCAGGTTCCCGATCGGCGAGGGCATCGGCGATCGGCGGTCGACGGTCCCCCGCACAGGGGATGCGATGCGTGTACTGTTTGCTCCATGTGTCCTGAGTGTGGGGTTCTTGTAATCAGTGTCACGCCGCCACCTCCTTCACTCACTCACCCGCTTCCATCCATACTCACTCATTCTCAGATCCACTGGAACTTACACACGCACTCACCCGATGAGACCCACCCCTGCCCAGACTGCCTCACACTCGGACTCGGACTCACACCCGGACTCGCTCCTGCTCACACTCGGACTCGGTCATGCTCAGACTCACCCACACCCTCGCTTTCACCCACGCTCAGACTCGCTCACACTCAGACCCACTCACACCCGCACTCAGGCTCACTCACGCTCAGACTCACTCACGTATAGCTCCGGCGGTGCCTGAAGCCCCCAGAAGTGCGTGCGCGTGCGCGCGTGGTCTGTATGTGTGTGAATTGTATGTTGTGTGTTGTGTTGAGTGTGCTGCGTGTGTTGTGTTGTGCTGTGAGTGTGTTGTGATGTGTTGTGTTGAGTTAAAAATGTGTGTGGGTTGTGTTGTGTGTTGTGTTACATGGTGTGTTGTGTTGTGCGTGTTATGTGTGTGTTGTGTGTTGTGTTGTGTGTGTGTTGTGTGTGTGTGTGTGTGTGTGCGGCTGTGTGGTTGTGTGTGATTGTGTTGTGTGAGCGTGTTGTGTGTGTGGTTGTGCTGTGTGTGCGTGTTGTGTGTGGTCTGCGCTTGCGTGTGCGTGCGCGTGCGCCGGCACGCGTCCAGAGCCCCTCGCCCGCGGCAGCCCCCTCTCGGGAGGCCGCCGGTGCCCGCTCGCGGCCGCAGCGCGGGGGGGTGGCGCCCCGAGGAGCACGGCCGTCTCTGGGCGGGGGCGCGCCTCCCCGCCCCCCTCCTCCCTCCCTCCCCCCTCCTCCTCCTCCTCCTCCTCCTCCTCCTCTCCTCATCCTCCTCCTCCTCCTCCTGCTCCTCCCTCCTCCTCCTCTCCTTTCCTCCCCCTCCTCCTCCTCCCCCCCTCCTCCTCCTTCTTCTCCCTCCCTCCTTCTCCTCCTCCCACTCCTTCTCCTCCTCTTTCTCCTCCTCCTCCTCCTTCTCCTCCCTTGTTGCCCCCTCCCCTTCCGCCCCTCCCCCCCTCGCCCCCCGCCCGCGGTCCCGGCGGCGGCAAGGGCCGCCGCGCAAACGCACTGAGCGGGGGCGCGCCTTCTTTCCACCGCGAGGCACTCCGAATCCCTCATTTTTGATAACTGAGGGGGGGGTCTGGTTTATTAGGGCGCTTTCTTCGACTACACGCAAAAGTGACCCTGGGTAAGAGTGACCTTTGGTGCGCGGCGTTTGTTGGGGGCCGCGGGGGGACTAAACACGAGCGCGCCAGACGCTGCTACCGCATCGCGTTCGGCGATCGGGGGACCCCGTTGGGCCCGCACCAAAGGTCACTCCGACGAAAGGTCACTCTTACGTATAGCCGATTTCTTTGGATTAGAGCTTAGGGGGTTTGGTTTTTAGGTCCGCTCGCGGCCGTCTCTGGGCGGGGGCGCGCCTTCTTTCCACCGCGGGGTAGCCAGCATGGAATTTTGACCTCCCAATTTGGAGCCGCCATGGGGTGGTACTCCAAGCCCCCCCCGAAAAAACCGGACCCCCCTCCAAGTGCGATCTAATATTATGGACCCCCCTCTTCGAAGGGGCGCCTGAATAAACAGGACCCCCTAAGCTCCAATCCAAAGACACCGCCCTAATAAACCAGACACCCCCAATTACAAAAGAGGCGCCTCAAAAAACCGGACCCGGGAGACGATTCATAAGGGATTTGGAGTATCACCGGCCCCTTCGCGCTCAGACTGTGCCCCTGATCAGACGCTCACAGAGGAAAGTGCCAGAGCACCAGGCACGTTATGGAGATCTCTGCGTCGAATGGCTTAGCGATGCTGGAGCCCTGAAGGTCTGGTCCACTTTCCCAGCGCTGGAACCTCCTCCATCCTCCTCCATCCTCCTCCATCCACCTCCTCTCCTCCTCGTCCTCCTCCTCCTCCTGCTCCTCCTCCTCCTCCTCCTCCTCCTCCTCCTCCTCCTCCTCCCCTTCTCCTCCCCTTCTCCTCCCCTTCTCCTCCTCCTCCTCCTCTTCTCCTCCTCCCCGGAGGCCTCGCGCGGCAACTTGGGACCCAATTTGCATCGGATCCACGTCGGGTCCCCGTCGGATCTGCGTCGCACTAACCAGTTACGTCAGAACATCGCCGCGCGAACATCGGCCGATACCTTACGGAGTGGATGTGTGGACTAGATGCTGCTTCTGCTGCGCGCCGCGCGAGGGGCCCTGGAGGCAGAAAGCAGCGAGACGTACACGCATCGATCTGTCCAGTGCGTCGGAGGCGGGGGGTCCCCCCGCTGCCTCCCCCGAAATCCCAAGACATGCGACGACGTGACTTTCCAATCCGCGACCCATGATGTCTCGACCACTTCCTCGACTTCTTCCTCTCCCGGATCAGATTTCGACTGTGCCAGGGCCTTCAAGCGGGCCTCGGAGGCAGAAATCGCTGACCAGTGCCCGGGACTGGAAAATCGGATCATCGGAGATCTGAACGAACAGGTACACGTCGTTCATTTCTAATCGTACTCGTTTCTAAGTGTGCTCGTTGCTAATTGTTCCTGGCCCCCTAGTGGCCAGGAAGAGCCCCAGGATAGAACAACTAGAAGTGAAAGGATCTTGGCCCGCCAAGAAAACAAAGAACTTTCTAATAATTAGAAACGAACCATGTGTACCGATTCCGCTACTCCCTCGACCTCCACATGGGATGCGATCTGACCAGAGTTTCGTGTTTCGACTCGAGTCGTGGCAACGAGGTCCTCCCCAGAGGCTTCAAAAATACGCGAAAGCGAAGCACGGGCAGCGGTAGCGGTACCTTGTCCTCCTCTGACTCGGTCGCAGCTCGGCTCTCTGAGGCCCATTCGGGACGATCCGAGCGGCCCCCAGAACGGCCTCGATGAGGCGCAACTGATGGAAGGCATCCCGAGGGTGGAAGATCGCCGAGAACCGACGGAAACGTCAGAAAAACTCGAGCCTCGAACCTCGAAGTTCGTTGCCCCCTGTCGTTCGTTGCCCCTGCGTGGCCACGACCAGCAGGCTGCCGCCGAGCTCCCCCCTAACGGAGGGGCGACGATGCGGGGGAACTGGCTCAGGGTGGGAAGCACCGACCTGGAATCGGCGATACCCAGTTGACAGACCGGCGACAGGCCCCAGGTAGCGACTTCGCACGCTCCTGGGCGGGGCGGGAGGAGGAGGAGGAGGAGGAGGAGGAGGAGGAGGAGGAAGCGGTGGATGTCGGGCCCCTCCTCGCCATCGCTCGGACGTCCATTCCTCGTGCATGCTTCGGCTTCGCGCGCGTATGTTCTCACAGGGTGGCCCCAGATGCTCCTCGATGGCCCTCGCCAAGACGAGCGCACACGCCCCAGGCCTCTCGCCGGGCAGTGCACGATTTGGGGTCGATGCGTCCCCCCCCCCCCCGAGCCTCTTCCCCCCCGCAACGCTGCCCCCGACCTGCCCTCCGCCTCGGCTGCGAAGGCCCCCGCCGACAGGGCGACCGCCTCGCGGCCCGCCGGCGTGAGGCCGTACTTGGCCGTCCCGACGGCGGGGTCGGAGATGATGATGCCGGCCACGTTCGCCTCTCGGCTCCACGCAAGAGTCAGGTCGGGCCTGCCCCCCTCACAGGGGGAATTTGGACGAGCGATAAAACACAGTCAAACATACGACAGAGGATGCTCGAAAACAGTCAAACATCGTCCCCAGGCTATTTCTTGACTATTTGTTGATACTCCTTCTGTAGAGGGACACGCCCGACTTCACGCAGGAGTGACCATGGGCAAGAGTGAGCTTCGGTGCGCGGCCTTTCGGGTGCCGCGGGGAGGCAAACCCAGGCGCGAAAGCGCTACGTTATAGAGTCGCGTCCGTCGATCCGGTGGGCCCCAGCGGGCCCGCACTTGAGGCCACTCTGGCGAAAGGCCACTCTTGCGGGTGGCCGACCTCAGACCCCGAGGGGGAACGCAAGGGAGGGACCCGCCCAGGGGAGGACATGTCGCTCTGAAAGCCCAGGGGAGGGACCGGCCCAGGGGAGGACACGTCGCCCTGGAAGCGACGATGCGTCGCCGCCGATAGATCGGCGAGCAACCACCGACGGCGTGCACGCGCGTGCGGGTGGGCCCCTCCGGGCCCCCTCTCGGCGAGAAGTGGGCGCTGAGGGGCCGCTCCTGCCCCCGGGACTCCTCCTCCTCCCTCCTCCTCCTCCTCCTCCTCCTCCTCCTCCTCCTCCTCCTCCTCCTCCTCCTCCTCCTCCTCCTCCTCCTCCCCTCAAACGTTGCCCCTGGCCCTGGGGACGTTCGCCTGTCGGGGTGGTCGATTCCAGGCCTCCTGCGCACTGGCAGACTGAAGGCGAGCTTCTTCGGCCGCTTTCGGCGCACAGCGGAGGCCAATCGACGAGAAAGCTCCCGCAAGCAACCCAACCCTGAGACCCCAGGACGTCCATCGATTTTTGGCGTGGGGACGTCGCGCTCTCCATCGCAAAACCCTCGAAACCTGTAGTGCGCCCTGGAGGCAAGCAGGGTGTTTCTTGGCATGAGCCTCCACTGTGTGGGGTGGCCCCCGCCGCGCCCCGAGGCCGTCAAGCACCGACCCGGGCCGAAAGCCCAACTCGCGGGAAGGGGCCCGCAGCTCTGGGCACCCCGTACTGAGCGAAGCAAGACATCAGAGTGCCAGCGACGCTCGCCTCTCTGGAAGCAGCGCGACCAGCCCTGTAAGGCTCCTGCGTTTCCCTTCTTGCCGTCCTGTGGCGTTGGGTCCCTGCTTTGAAGCAGGAGCGGCCTGCGTCCTCTCGTCCCGCTGTCCTCCTCCCTCCTCCCATCCCTGCCTCTGCCCCCTCCGCATGTCCACTTCGGTCCACTTCGGCGCAAACCTCACACGCTTCGTGGCCTCGCAGGGAGCTCCACCGAAGGCCATTGCGGGCGAGGCCACTTGCAGCCCCCCGCCAACCGCACGTCAATCCTGACACACCCCTCACACGCTTCGTGGCCCCATAGACAACACGAACGAAGGCCCCGGTGCGTGCGGCAAATTGCGGCTCCCCGCCCACCGCGTGCCCATGTCAACACACACACACACACACACGCACACACACACACACCATCACACGCTTCGTGGCCCCATAGACGAATTCACCCCGAAGCCCCAGTAGGTGCGGCCACACGCGGGTCCCCGCCCACCGCATGTCCACTTCGGCACACGCCTCACACGCTTCGTGGCCCCATCGGGAGCTCCACCGAAGACCCCTGTAGGTGCGGCCAGATGCAGACCACCGCCCACCGCATGTCCACTTCGGCACACCTCTCACACGCGTCGTGGCCCCGTAAGGAGCTAGCTCAACCCAAGACCACAACGGGTGAGGCCACATCTGGGACCCCGCCCACTGTACGCTCACTTCGGTACACGCCTCACATGTCTCGTGGCCCGATGGACGACCCGCGCGCGTCGCTGGGACTCCTTCTGGGCGACAAGCGCGCGTCGCGGGGACTCTTCGCAGCGCTCGGCCCGAGGCCGCGCCATGGCAGAGGAACAAGGAACGGAGAAACATGAGTGGGCACAAAACGGCGGCGCCTGGGGCTCGGCCCATCGCGGACCAAGTGGGCATGACCGCCACGCACAACGGAAACAAGCGGAGGGGAGGAAGAGCTTGCGAAGGAACCGGCAACGAAACGATGGCGCCTGGGGCTCGCGCCAAGCCAAAAACTCCCCTCCCACTTTTCCGCCCGTCCCCGCCGCAGACCTTTTGATGGCACCCTCCTTCATCCCAGCTGCACCGCGACACTCGCAACTGCATCTGGTCGGCTCCTTCGCCAGGATAATCGGTGAGGAGGCTCATAAAACCGACTCCTCCTGCTCCTCCTGCTCCTCCTCCTCCTCCTCCTTCTCCTCCTCCCCCTCCTCCTCCACCATTATCTGCCCCTCCCCTTTCCCCTCCTCCTCCTCCTCCTCCTCCTGCTTCTCCTCCTCCTTCTCCTCAATATTATCCGCCTCCTCCTCCACCTCCTCCTCATCCTCATCCTTCTTTTCCTCCATTCTCCATCCTCCCTCCTCCCTCCTCCCTCCTCCTGCTCCTCCTGCTCCTCCTCCTCCGTTCCTTTGTCTAACAGTACATATACGACCACCATTCGGGTGAGAAGGGGGTGCGTAGGGGGGAAAAGGAAAACCCCTCTGACAACAACTGCGATGAATGTGATAGCGATGAGATGGCGGTATTGCACGATGCAAATCACGGTGAGAATGAATCATGGCAGTTGCAATGAAGGCGACGCAACCGCAGTGGGGCTAACACCACATAAATGCGACCTCGCCTTCGACACCTATCGACTGATCTCACTACCGGTTGCACTATCGAGCTCTCAATCGATGACAGTATCGATCCAACAATCGATATCACTGTGGATCAGACTATCTGTCTCATACCATATCTTCATTTCGATATCAGGATCGACCTCCGAACAGATCTCACTATATATCTCGCAGCGAAATGCTTGTCAGTAAGATCGGGACACCAGCTGGGCAACACCGGGACATCATCGGCACACTATCGATCTGACAATCGATATCACAGCATATTCCCCTATCGATCCCACAGTCGATCTCACACCAGATCACACGAATTATCGATCTCACACAGATTCGCACAATCGAACTCACCATGGAACTCACTATAACTCTCGACATCGAGCGCACTTCCGATCGCACTATCGATCTCACCATCGATCCCAACACCGATCTCACAAGAGATACCACTACCAACCTCATAATTGATTCCACGAACACCATCTAAACATCATGATTGGGCACCCCCAGCCACGACGGGGCACCCCCAGCCAAAGATCTGTTGTGATCGACCACTATCGATCTCACTCTCGATATCTCGATCTTACGATCGACCTCACGATCTCGACCGATCGCTCAATCGATCGCACTACCGATCTCACTATCGATCTCACAACTGCTCTCACGAGCTATCATCGAGACACTACGGCGGGACACCCGGAGCCACCGACGGGGCACCCCGCGCCACCGACGGGGCACACCCGCGCCACCGACGGGGCACCCCCGCGCCACCGACGGGGCACCCCCGCGCCACCGACGGGGCACCCCGCCACCGACGGGGCAGCCCGCGCCACCGGCGGGACACCGGCGCGCCTCTGGCCACCGCGCTCCGGGAGGGGCGGGGGGCGGACAACTGGCTCTACAGCCCATATCCACGGCAGCTTCGCCTCGCCCGCACGCGCGACACGAGAACGAAAGCGAGACCGATTTCCCGGTGGGGGGCTCGCCTATCCACTGCGATCTCACCCCCCGACCTCTGACCTCCTCCCTGTCCCACCCCGAAGCCAATCGGAAGAGCGGGCTGGGCGTTTCGCCTGAGGCTTCCTTATCATCTGTGACCCTGAAGCTTGAACATTTACAGAAATCAGCGAAAGTTGCTCTCGCCTTAGCTTCGCGCACATTCGGTTTAACAAATCGAAAGAGCTTCACATATTGAAGGCGGGCCGTTTCCAAAAAGTAGCTCACGCCTTAGCGCCGCGCGCACCCGTTTTTATAACAAGTGCCAGAGTTCACGGGTTGAGGGCGATTCCTTGTCAAAATGTGGCTATCGCCTTAGCGCCGCGAGCAGTCGTTTTTTCAATATTCACGAGTTACACCGAATCTCATGGTTCTCGTATCAGGTGCTGTATTATGGAATCAGTCAGGGCTGATAGGCGCAGCAGTTACAATGATTCGCGGTGTTGAAGTCCCAGGAACGCTGTTTGGCCACGGTTCAGGATCGCCAGTACGCAAGGGTCATGTTGACTCGTGGCGTTTGACGTCCCGAGATTTTTTTTTCTGGCACCCTTCAGGGTCTTTAAATAGTTGTCTCCCAACGGGGCTCTTCCCTCAACCGAGATGCATCCTTGTAGGGGCATCTGATGAGGGAGCATTTACTCCAACATCGTTGATGAGCCTTGGGTTTGCCCTGGTCGTCCCTCCTCCTCCTCGTCCTCCTCCTCCTCCTCCTCCTCCTCCTTCCTCCTCCTCCTTCTTCCTCCTCCTCCTCGAGCGTACCAGGGGGGGCCGCGTCCGATGGTCTCAACCTCGAGGTGCGCCTGGCCTCGCGATGGTTGCGGGGCGGGCGACCTGGCGACGAACTGCACTTAGCACAGCTCGACAAGCTGCGGCGGAGATGGGTTGGTCAGGCAACGAACGGAGAGCATCGCGCAGGTAAGATGCATGGACACAAACAATGAGAGAATCACGGGAGGGGGGAAGAAGCCCGAGACGGGCGATGGGACAGGAGGGAAGAGGGCGCTGGACAGCGAGAGTGAGGGCACGACAGAAATGAGGACAACGCCAAGTATGGGAGAACCTATGGGGCTCGGGGCACCCAAATATACACGGGTTCTGCTCTTGAAAGCGTGTTGACGTGATCCACCCACCAGAAAGAGTCTTGAGGATTGCAAAGGACCAGGCTGGGGGAAGGGAAGAGAGGGCGGCTCTCACATCGTCCCAAAGAGCAGAGTCAATTTCAGCAACTTTATCTGGTAACCAACGATATAGGCGTTTGCGAAAAAGAATGCGGAGATTGTCAGGATAAACGTTAAGGAGAGCTTCTCGATAGAGGATACGTTGGGGGTGAAGAGCGTGCGGGGGAAGATGAGGACGGGCTTGCTGGACATCCCGAAGAGCATGGATGGCCTGGCGGAACAGAGGGTGGAGACGATGCCAGTCGGGGAAACCATTCGCTGCCGCCTCCAGGTTCAGGGCGAGCGCGGGCGCCTGCCAGAATTCAGGCCACGGGCGCCCCGAGATGGCGCGCACCAGGGAATATTCCTCAGCGCAGGTTCGGTGGAGCATCCTCGAGATCGGTTCCCAACAGGTAAACGTGAAAAGCGCAGCCCGAATACGTTGAACAGCGTTGAGGATCCACAAACTCGGGATTTTCGGACCTCCCCACTGGGCTAAGTTGCTCCACGATCCTTGGCTGAAACAACAAAATGGGAGGCGAACGACTGAGGCCAGCACGCTGTACTCACGCTGGCGGAGCACTCGCGGGAGAACCTGAAACTGGCCGACATAGGACAGCGTGGTGGCCGCCCGTACAGCATAAAGCGAAGCAGCTGTCGATGTCGGGGCTCCAGAGCGGCCGATGCTTTTCGAACGATCCAGGAATTTCTCGAACGGGCTCTTCAAGGAGGTCTCAGGAGTGACTCCAGGGCCGATCCACATCCCAAGATACTTCACCATCGGAACAACGTCGATCGAGGTCCACCTGGGAGTGAGGGAGGCGACGCGGGTCTCGCACATACGTTTGAGCCCATCAGTGTAGGGGCCCGCCAGGGGCACCAGCTTGCATTTGGGGACTTTAAGGGTGAGGTGGGCGAGCTTCTGGGCGTCCCCGAAAACGTCGGCGAGGAAAGGGAGGGACTCCAGGCTCCTAAGTACCGCTCCCGCATCATCAGCACATGCGCGAAATACGTCGCGGCCAGCGTCCTCAATCAGCAGGCGGAACGAGCCAATGAATGGGTCCATGCCCCAAGCGAAGAGGGAGACACTGGCGGGGCAGCCTTGGATGATGCCACTGAGCACCTGAAAAAGCACGCTGGTGTGGCCACCGATCGAGCCGACGCAGACGACGTCCTGGTACAGAAACCGAAGAAAGGCCATGAGCGGTCCAGGAAGGTTCAGGCGTTGCAAAACCATGAACAGCCAGTCCTGAGACAGAGAAGGAAACGCCTGCCCGACATCAAAACAGATCAAACTCGGAAGCGACGTCATCGGCGAGGGCTGCATACTGAATACTCGAGCGAGGCCGTCGAGTTCGATAATGTTGTTCCCGAACTGGCGATGTGGTACGAAACCGCGTTGGGCGGGGTCAGTATAACGGGAGAGTGATTTCGCAAGCCCACGAATACAGAAACCAGCCAGAATCTTGTTGTCGCAGTTCTTAAGGCCCAGGGGGCGGGTATCTCCAGCGGCACGTATGATTCCGCCTCCCAAACTGTCTCCTGGTTCCTCCCCTTTCGGAATGAACACCCCTGTGAGGAAGTTAAACCCGTACAAGAGCGAGTGGCCCTCCAGGACCCACTGGAGGCTCTCGTACAAAATCTCTGCGCCGAGCGGAGCCTTCTGCCAGGCGCTGTAGGGCAGCAGGTCGGGGCCTGGCGCGCTGTGACACAGCCTGTGCAGGTGTCGCTCGAAGGGGCCGAACGCCGGCGGCGACAGGGCGTCGGACGGCATCGCGAGGTCGAAGCGATCCAGAAAAGCAGCGGCCGCTTCACCGTCAAAAGGTTTGGCGCGAAACACAGGGGCCCAGTGACTCGCCAGGGCGCCCAGGATTTGCCGAGGACGATTTTCAACATGTAACTCTCCAGGGGTCCGAACTCCAGCCAGAGGCATCGTTTTTCCAAATGGGGCCCACAGACGGTCTCGTTTCCGTTGGCGAGCGGCACGCTGTCTTGCACGAAGCAGTCGGTTGGGGTTCAGCACCGCACCGTTCTCCGCCTGGAGCTTGCGCTCGGCGGACTGCGCCACTGCCCAGTGGAGCTCATTCGAAAGCTGTGCGAACGCGACGGGACCGGCGAGCGAGAGAGCGCGGGCGTGGTGGTCAAGCAGGAGGTGCTCACGACAAAGAGGATGAGAACGATGGAGGAGAAGAGCAAGGTCCCAATCACGACGAAATACCGCCCTAGCCATCCCCCGTATCATGAGATACTTCGCTAGAACACTATTCGGACGTTTCAGAATGATAGTATTTCTGGCATGTTGAGCAGCAGCTTTCATAAGGGATTTGTAGCAGTCAAGACGAAGAGGGGGAGAGAGATGATCGACAGGAGCCGCCTCCCAAGCCGCCAACAAAAACTGCCGATACTCGTTAGTCAGGAAGATCTCCCGCGGGATAGGACGCTCCGCAGGAGGGGGGGGAGGGCGCACCTGGATCGTAGCCGACGCCGCAGCGTGATCCGAGACCCTCGACGCGTGCAGAACCTCGGGATGCTCGACGACCTCGCCCCCGGTGGCGTACTGAGAAAGGACCCATCCAGGGGCCGAACAAAACAGTCTGTCGATATGGGTAAGGTTTCGCTGCGCGTGATTGTAGTGAGACGGGGCAGAAAGCTGAAACTCCACCATGCGGTCCAGGACGTTTTTCCAGGGCTGAGGGAGGGGAACGGGCTCAGGAAGGGAAGGGTCATGATCGCCTCGAACAGGGATGGGGACATGGGAGGGAAGGTTGAGGTCCCCCGCCACGTACACAACACGGTTCAATGGGTCGTCGGCGGCCTCGTCAAGCTCCGAGGAGGTCTGCTCCAGAACCGCCCTCTTCTCATCCGCAGACAGGCCGAAGTTGTGCACGTTGAAATTCGAAACCCAGGAGGTATCATTGGCAGCGCTGATCTGTGCGTGTAATACTCGTCCAGGAACCAGGGGAACTGGCACGGTAAGGGGGAGGGGGGGGGGCCTGTGCACTTCAGCCTGTCCTCAGAGTAGGAAAAGGTGGGGATCAACGTCAACACGCCGCCAGCATTAGAGATGGGGTCGAGATGGAGTGGGGAGAGAACTCAGCAGAGAAGGGGAGATTGAGCTGGTGCAGCAGATCGGCGACATCTGCAGGGTGGCCGTGGGTCTCTTGAATTGAGACCAGCGACACAGCCCTAAGAAGAGAGCGCAGATACCTGACCTTTCGCAATCTGATTGCGTGGTCATGGTGGAAAAGAGCGCGAGCATTCCAGGTCGCAAGTCTCACTGGCGTACAGGTCGGTGACGCGGAGGCGGTCCCTGTCAGCAGAACGTGAGCTTGGCTAGGAGCACCACTCCGTCGGCTGCACGTTGCCGCAGACTGCAGCCATGATCTGAGCCTCGACGTCGGCGCGCTCAATGCCCACGGCCGCGATGTTGGCGGGGGACCACTGCACCGAAGGTGGCGAAGTCGTGGGGATCGGGGAGATCTTGAGCAGCGGGCGCCCGTTGCACGAGACCTCGCCAGTGTCCACGTCCTTGTAGAACTTCTTGGTGGGGTAGCGCTCGCGTAGCAGCTGTGCAGCGGCCTTGAGCGCAATCTCCTTCTTGACCATGCATGAATTCTTGTCCGAGCCCACAAAGATTGGCCCAGGCTCATTCGTGACGCTGTTGGCCGCGAAGCGGCGGAACTCCCCGTTGGCCAGCCGCATATTGCCCAGGCACTGTTGAACCTTCCGAGCTGCATAACTTGGGGTTCCCGCCATCTGCAACGCGAACTTGGTTACCGTCGGGTCGCCCTTGATCTCGTAATCGTCGCTGGAGATGTTGCATGAAGCGAGCCACTGGTCGAGGGCTGCTTCTGCACGAGCCATGGCCGTCTGAAGCTTGCACCTGATGATGATAACCGTCGGATCGGTGGGGCGGTTGAAGGACTGGTCGACCGCCTTGGGCGCAGGTGTGGCCGTGCGGTCGAGCTCGAGCGCGGATCGAATGTCACGAAGCTCAGCCTCCACCTTGTCCATGCGCGAGCCCTGGGACTTCTGAATGTGTTCGAGTGTGGCCATCCGTCCCTCCACAGACTTTGCGATGTTGCCGCAGGTAGTAGACAATGAGGACGTGAGAGTGGAGAGGCTGCTGGACATGGATGACTGGGCGGGTTGAACAGAAGCAGTGAGCTCATCACGCAAAGCAGAAATCGCATCCCTGAGCTGCACGTTCGTGAGGGCCGCGTCGTCGCATACCTCGAAGCCGTCCTCGTCCGTCTTGGATCTTTTGGCAGGCTGTCCGCGCTCAGGTGTGGAGATGCCTGTCGAGCCACCTGGAGACAGCTCGGAGGACGAGAACGGAGTGGATGGTCCCGATGACGCCATCTTCGCCGCGGGCACAGAATCTGTGAAGCGGCTCCCAAAAGAGGCGTGGCAGGGCCAAGGGAACTGGGCCGTGGGGCGATCTTGCCGCGGGCGCTGTGCCCCAAGCCGCTCGAGAGCAGGCTACGGACGGGCCCAGACCTAATCACTGGTTCTCGGGCGTCTATAGCCCTTCACTGCGTTTAAGTCTTGAGCCAAAATGGCTACGGACCTCCTCCTCCTCCTCCTCCTCCTCCTCCTCCTCCTCCTCCTCTTCCTCCTCCTCCTCCTCCTCCTCCCCCTCCCTCCTCCTCCTCCTCCTCCTCCTCCTCCTCCTCCTCCTCCTCCTTCATCCTCCTCCTCCTCCTCCTCCTCCTCCTCCATCCTCCCTCCTCCTCCTCCGCACGCGCTCTCGCCCACGCCCCCCCGTGCGCACAGGGGCGGGGCGGGGGGAGCCGAGGAACCCCCGCGAGCAGAAGCAACGGCCCCGGCCCTCCGACGCCCAGGTGTTCCCGGTCCGGGCGGCCCTCGCCGACGGGGAGGGCACCGACGGCACACCGACCCATCGGTGGGAAGGCGTAGGCAGAACCGTTCAGTAGGAAGGCGTTGGAAGTAGCTTGGGTGTCCGCCTGCCCCCTGGGGACGAGGGGGCAGGGGAAGCCACTCGATCCTTGAAGCAGGAAGGTGTTCGAAGTAGGCTGGAGCCTGACCTCCAAAAGTACCTTCTGTCAACGACCGATGGGTACATCTGCGCCGATCATGGCTAGGACCACCCTGGGCCCAGGATCGGCGCGGGTGTGTAGCTGGTGCCCTTCGGCCGATCTCGGACTTCGGGGCGCCGTTGTCGGGCCCCGTGGCCGTCAAAAACGGATCTCGTGCGGCAGACCACCGCCGGGAAAGGAAAGCGGAGACGGCCTCTGGGCCGCGATTGCCGGGCCAGGGGCCCATGGATCCAGCTCGCGAATCGGCGACTCCGAGAAGGGGTGGTTTGCAAAAGGTGTGGTCTGTAACCCGCGGACCTCGACAGTTATCTCTGCCGTGCACCGACGAGGACTCTTCCAACCTTTGGAGCAACGTGGCGACCACTAAGCCCCAGCGGCGCCGATCGCAAACCACTTCCCGGCGTGCCCACACACCCTGTTGTAGCCACCTGCGGCAGCAAAGCGTGGCCTCGACGCCTCCCGTCGTGTTTCCCCACGGTGCTGCACTCTGCCAGCGGGGTGGGCTCTCGGGGGCCCCCGGCCCCCACGCGCGTTCGCCCGCCCCGCGCCTCCGACTCTCCGTGGCGGAGGGCAAAGTACTGGTGCCTGCGGGGGGCCGAGCGGGGGCGACAGGCTCCGGCGGCGGAGGCATCCGGAGGAGGCAGAAAGCGGCATGGCCATGGACTGCCGGAGCTCCGCGCGGATCTCTTGGATCGGCACCGGGCCCCGCCTGGCGGCGCGTCCAGAGCCGCCCCTGGCGGGCTCCGCGCGTCGGGGAGGGGGGGGGTTCAAAAAAAACCAAGGATTGCAACAAAAAGGTGTTTTTTGTTTTGCAATCCTGTTTTTTTGCAATCTTGCGTCCGGGAGGGTTTTTTTTGTTGCAATCCTGCGCCCATCCAAGAAACCCGCCGCGGAGGTCCAGTACTTCAGGCCTGTGCCGTTCTGTCTTTTTGTTCGAAGGTCTGCCGCGTCAGTGTCGGGCTACACTGTCAATGCCTCGTTCTCTTAGGGCTTTGCCGCGTTCTTGCTCCGAACGATCTGTCACGTATGCGGGGCTGCACTGTCGATGCCGCGCTGTCCTGTGTCGCAACGCACTCCGCCCGAGGCGGAGGAGAGCTTGAGAGATCCGCCCACAAAAAGTGCGTTAACGTTAAGTCGGGCCTGTCCCCCTACAGGGGGATTTTCGAAGAAAAACAAGACATACCCCAAAAAGAATCAAGAACAAATCCACAAATAGCCTGGGGACTATGTTATGAGCATGTTTGACCTTTTTGTGGTATTTTGGAGGTCTGGTATTTTTCGTCGAAAACCCGCCTGCAGGGGGACACGCCCGACTTAACGTTAACGGCACACCGCCAATCGGCCAGCGATGGGCCACTCGATCGAGAAGCCGCCGGCCTCCGGCCTCTGGGCGGTCGCCCGAGCGCCCATCGACGACGGACGCCGGGGGCCGATGTTTTCGGAGGGGGAGGGAGGAGGGAGGAGGGAGGGAGGGAGGGAGGGAGGGAGGGAGGGAGGGAGGGAGGGAGGGAGGGAGGGAGGGAGGGAGGGAGAGGAAGGAGGAGGAGGAGGAGGAGGAGGAGGAGGAGGAGAGAGGAGGAGGAGGAGAGGAGTGGAGTGGAGTGGAGTGGTGGACACCGCTGCGGAGCAGGTTTGAATACTAGGCCTTACGAGCATTCGAGCGTCGTGCCGAAACCTCGGCACGGCTCAGGACTTTGGGATTCAACACCCGTGCAATCCTGTCGAGGTACTCTTGACCTGTAGGGGTCTTGCGCTTGGAACACGGGCCTTTGAGGGAACGCAAAACCTTGTCCGCGATCGCCCCACACTCAATGCAGAACCAAACCTGAAGGGTCGAGCGAACATTCAGGGTGTGCGTAGTGTGGGCCCAACCCCCCCGGATATGGATTCGCGCCCCCTTCATCGGCGAAAATAAGGAATTCGGGACAGTGGCGACGGTCGCAGATCCGAAACACTTCAGGCATCGCCGACCGCATTCGGACAGGCAACGTTTGGAAAGAAGGGCGGAGACAATTGCAGCGGCAGGGGGGGAGGGGGGAGGAGGAGGAGGAGGGGCCTCACAGGAGCCACGGGGGCCTCGGGGCGCATCCTTCATCACTCGCTCGGCCTCTTGGCTGGCCGCAATGCTGTCAAGCGTGGCTCTCAAGAGCCTCAAACGTAAGAGGTACGCCTTCCTCTCAATCATGAGAATGGGGTGGCGGGTGGCCGCCAGCAGCCTCGCCTTAGCCGCTGCCGCCCCCGCGAGCTCGTCGGCGGGCAGGTTGCCGATCACCAGGTGCCTGTTCGCCCTCTGGGCGACGATGTCCTGGGCCGTGCAGTGGGATGGTGTCCACAGCGCCGCTATTTCACAGTGGTGCCGCGTCTCCATCAGGTCGCCGATGAGTTTCCACAGGTCGGCGTCCTCCCCTGTCGTGTGTCGGTAGGTCTGGGCGCACCATCCCGCTGCCACGTACTCGCAGTCCGTAACGTACGTAAGGTATCGGTTCGTGCGCCAGAGAGCTAGGTACAGGGCATACAGCTCGCCGCGTGCAACCACCTGCCTCGGTCCACCTAGCTGGCCGATGACTGTTCCATGTAGTAGGTTGATGTCTGGCACAAGACTCCGAGCACAAATAATTGCAACTCCAATTCGCATGAAATCACTGACGCCTGCATCGGGTCCTCCACTGGCGCCGCCACAAATCTCGGCGGGTGAGTGCACGCATCCGTCGCCGAAAATGCCTGAGACAGTTCGTTAATTCGGGTACATGCAAGAATAGTTTCGCGAGGGGGCTCCGGCACCTGGGCCCATGACCGAGGGGTGGGGCCTCGCAGCCAGAAGTACTCAGCGGCTTCGGCCTGAGCTGCGGCCTCAGGGACCAGGGCCCCAGATCTCACGTACGGAGTAGAAGAAACATTTGTTCCGCGCATCCAGAATCAGTGGAGGGCCTTTCAGGCTACCCCCGACACCTGTCACACAAGTTGTTGCCCTTATATCATGTCAGCCCGTCGCACCGTCGTTGTTTAGTCCAGAACCCCCCTGTGGCGATGTGGACCAACAGCCCGCTCAGGCGGATACCGCGGGGTAGCTGGCCAATCTGCTTCAAGAGTAACCTGAAAGATCGGTTGTCAATGCCTTGCTCTGCGCCTCCTCCGCAAAAGCGTTGTGCAGCTCTGCTCCAGACTACAAGTTCTGCCGAGCGCTGCACATCTCGAAGAAGCTCACGACGTGTGTCTAAAAATGTATTCCCAGTGCATATGGAATCTGGAAGCTCCCAAGCTTCTGTCGCCCCAAGCTGCGATACGCACGACCTAGTGTCCACGTCCTCAGGGCTCCGGTTGACGCGGAGGAGGGCGAGGATGGTGGCGGACACCGGTCCTCTCACAGCCCGAACCTGCTGCTTGGGTTCCAGCTGGCAAAGCTGATCTCGGATGATCGGCCACAACCTGCGGATACAATTGTGTAGCTCTGGCTTCTGTTGCCAAACATTGAGCCACATATCCAACGTCTTCACGGGCATGACAATAGCTCGGTCGCCTCCTGGAGCTCGTAAGTCGAGAAGAGTACTTAGGCACCTGCCACGGGTGGCCGCAGCACGCGTCTAGCCCAAACGCCTTCGGTGGATGTTCAGCTGCTGGCCGAACATGCCGTGCACCTGGAAGCCGTATGACCCCGCTGGTTGGAACCCGTTGCGCTCAAGGCGCATCGTGATGCCGTTGCGGTGGGTGGCCCTGCTGAACCTCCTCACCTTCTCGTTCGCCATGCCGTGCTTGGTCTGGCGTTGTACCCTCGTCGATCTGCCCGTCTTGTCACGGATGAAGTCGACTGGCTTGCACCATGTCCTTGACAAGGCAGCCCTTCATCTTGGCCGCCCTCGCCACGGCGCGCGCATCAGCAAAGTTGGAGCACATGACCACGGACTTCTTGGGGAGCCTGAGGCCTCTCTTGGCGAGCTCCTGGCCCGTCTTGACTACGCCTAGAATAAGATTAGATCTAACCGCATGTCGGGATCCTGTGATCTTCTGGCAGAGGTCGTCGACCCACACGCGGTGCGTCATCATCGCGGCCGCTGTAACCACAGCCTGCAACACAAAGTGGGTCAGAATTCTGGCAAATCGGGCGCCTCCCCGCAACCCTTGAATCACCGACTGGCTGGGCTCGAAGGGCGCGCAGACCGCCCCTTCCTGAGACAATGTGCGCACTGCCACGCATTGGAACAACTCCAAATACAAGGTGGCGGGAGGGAAATGCCACCGAAGGACAACCTTGGTCAGGGCTGCCCATGGTATGGAGTCGTAAAATTCTTGCATGTCCAGGAGGCCTTGTTCAAATGCCATGCGCAGCCAGTGCGCCAATGCTTCGTCAATAGCATGGAGATGCGCCTCACGAAGGCAGGAATTTCCTGCGATAGCAGCGCCCCGCGCCTGCTCCTCATCTTTGCTCCACTGCTTCGCGATAGGTTCACGAACGCGCGGCCAAATTCGCCCCAACATTGATCTCATACCTATGCCTCGATCCCCGTGGGACTTCTTGGGGGTCAAGAAGGTGTCGATGAGCTGGGTCTGCGCTGGCCAGGCCAACAGACCCTCTGCGCTCCGCAGGATGTCAGTGAAGTCGGTCATGGCCGCCAGTGGTAGGCGTTGGTAGTCGACGGGGCTGAGGGCGTCGACTCCCAGGCCCGCATTGCCCTTCATGGCCTTGGCGCTGGCGTAGACGAGGTCAGGGGTCAGCTCGGGGAGGGATTCCTACAGAGCAGCGTCGCGGGCGATCCGAAAGACTTCTCTTATCTCACCTGCATCAGGGGGCCTCGGGGCCCACGTGCTTTTGAAGGTCTTCGTTTTGTGGTCCATGATGTCCGCTGGGTGGACGAGGGTGTGGCCACCGACCTCCAGCTCGAGCGGTGGTAGTCGGCTAGCCGTCAAGGCCTCATGTAGGATGCCCGCGGCTTCAGGTTGGACTGCAATCGCCTTAAAACTGGCAATCGAGTCGTGTACTGCTGCTCGCTGCGCTCTGCCTGCAACCCGCTTGGCTGCGATGGCGAAATTCTCGAGCACGGGCAGGGTCATCCTCGAAGGATCCCCAAGGACTGCCAGCCATTGATCCCATGGAGCCTCTCGGCCCGCATTCAATATCGCGTGAGCCCCCCTGGTCGGGAGTGTCGTGACATAGTACTCGCATTGGCGTACTCCTGTTGCTGCCGGCCGCCATTGCCCCTGCACATGCGTCGGTAGACGCCCGCCGGCACCGCGTGCACCCGCGTCCACCATTGGCCACGTTGGTCCTGAAGGGCCAGCTCTCGAACGCGTGCCGTGACCCTCAAGGGCTTCTCACAGAAACTGGGCCCGTTCGATCGGGTGGTCCCAGGCGAGGGCCTGACATGGTGATGCTTATGGAAAGCCTTCTCAACAGCTGTGACCCAAGTTGCGCACTGTCCCGCGAGAATAGCACTGCTCTCAGGTTCGAGCGACAAGGCTACGGAGGAGGAGAGGGCGGGGGAGATACACGCCACAACATCAGCTCCCGACCGATAGCCAAGCTGCTGCCGAGCATCAGCCCACGCTGCCGCGGGGATTTCAAACGCAGGATCGGACGCATCTTCGATCCC